CTGGAATGTGTCTTAGAAAATTGTTCTCAGCAAAATATCCTTCATTCTTTTCTGTACTGGAGACTGAAATTGCAGAAAGTGTACTTACTTTTTAAAAACTTCTCCTGCATTTAATCACAAGTTGCCTTTCATATTGAACCGCGTTGGGAGGTGCGGCAGGGAAGGTGTATGCAAGTAACACTATAAAAGGTTTTATTTTTTGAATTCTCTAAGAGATAGCATGCAGTGCACAGCAGCTTACTAACGTTTTCTTACACCTTCAAGATTGACAGTGCCTGTCATAAAGATGTCCATATCTCTTTTCTCCATTAAACTTTCCTACAACATAAAGTACTAGGATTGATTTCAGATCAGTATATAAAGCTTTACTAGTACTGCATGTTTGCAAAGACTAGGGAGAACTTTCCTTGTCTGTAATTCTTTTCTCTCATTCTGATATGCAGTGACTACTTCAGTTGTATCATATTGCTGCAGAACTTTTCAAGCAGGTGATGAATAGGTTCAGACTGAATATATCTCTCTAACACAGGTTACTTCAGAGTAAAAGCGTTGCAGGGTTAACTTTCTTCTAATTTCTTACTTTAAAGGGGAAAGAAATCTTTCCACAAGTACTTCAGTCATGAAAAATTTTAGACCATCAATACCCACCCTGGTATGCGCCACTTAGCTTGAACCTGCTATCTCTGGATTCCTCGGAGTCATTTAAATATCTGGAACTAACTTCTGGTGCTGTGTGAAAGCCTGGTGTTTGCAACGCAGTGGTTAGGTAGAAAATCTGCAGGAAATGTGGTTAAAATGATCTGGAGAGAATAATGCTTGTTTTTTTCCTGCCACTTTGTAGGAGAGATAGAAGCCATAGTGTGTGTTGCTAGTTCATATGGTTATTGAGTTTAGTGCTGTTGAGGGCTGGTTTTTTTTAAATTTTTTTTTTTTAAAAGCACTGAACTGAAAAATCAGTTCTACCGATTTTTAAAATCAACTCTCTGAAAGTTACTACTGCTTGCAGTTGGCTACTGCCCTGCATTCTCCCCCATCAACTAGCAAGGCTGTCTAAAGGAAGGAAAAAAGATCGCTTTTCATTATGTTTAATGGCCATTCTGGGTGGGCTCTGTGAGGGAAGAGGACAGCCTTACCTGCTGCTAGTGTGCTCTTCCCTAGTTGAGTATGTCAGAGCTACACTTCCTTTACCTAGAGTTTTCTTTCAGCTTTAGTGATGGAGTTGATGCTCACTGCTCTGGTGTGATCGTGTTTGAATGGGATTGCCCTGGCCGTGGAAACCGGACGGTTACCCGTGTGCGCGCTGCAAGGGTGCCGGTGCTGCACATACTGGGCTGTCGTTCGTTCTTGGGAGCGCTTTCCTTGATGAGACGTGCATTGGCGTCTGTGACCTTTTGGTTTTGCTGCTGCCGTATGAGTTCAGAGAAGAACTGTCTTAAGAAAAACGGACTTTGGAAGGATGTACGTACATGTATGTATGCTGTGCATGTTTGTTTGGGGACAAAAAGGTATTACAAAGGTATGTTCTGGAGGACGAAGTGTGCAAAATCTGTGTATCTTCTGCGAATGTGTACAGAAGCACTCATTTGAAAGCAAACTGCTTTTCTTCTCCCCGCAAATCCCTCAAATGCATATACTCTTTTCTGCTTTTTCGTGATGCCAAAAGGTGACCTCGTTCTTTCTCCCTTTCAAGAGGGGATGGGATTTTTTGTTGCATTACGAGTCTCTAGCCTCGACATCTCTTAGAACTGAGTAATCTGGCAGTCTGTAGAAGATCTGGATCGTGGTTTGACATGTGGTGCTGGAAACGTGAGCTCTTGCTCAGTCATCCCTGCCCAGTTAGAGCAAGTTGACTGAAAGCTGCATCACAGTATCACCCTCTTATATCTGAAGCAGTGTCTGGTTTCCTAGAGACCAATTATTCCAAAGCCTTTCCTCCTGAAAATACTGTTCAGAGCAAATATTTTGAAGTTAACTCTAAGGAACCCACAAAAATACCTTCTCTGAAGCTGTTTGCATGCACAAGTGAGCAGTAAAGGCGGCACAAATTTATTTTCTGTAAAGCCCACTATAAATTACTCCTGAAATAGCTCCTGTGACTCTGTGCAGCTCCAGGCCACTGCATCCATTACTCTGAATGTGAGACTTAATGTCATCAGCTCATTTTTATCATTCGTTGCTTCCGCAGAGTGCAGGAACCTAGCTATAAAATATAATTATATGAATATTAGAAGTGATGGTGTTAGAGTGACATACTCCAATGAAGTAATAAAAAAAAAATTCTAGACTTTTAAAAATATTTGTATTTTAAGATCCAGATACTTCATTGGAAAAATATTTAAACTGTTTGAAGCTTGCCAAATGCATTAAATGGCCAGGAGAAACAAAACATCACTGGGACTCTCATACAAAAATTCTTGTTTTTGGAATGTACCCAATTTTACTTTCTTGTCTGGTGCCTCCTCTTATTTGGGGCCAGTTAAGATAGTTTTGGAAACCGAGCATCTACTCATGTATACATTTAGCTCAGAGTTACTTTGCTCATATCTGACCAATGAGCTCACTCATGAAAATGAACTGTCATGGCTTAGTGTTTGCTGGATCGGCCTTGAAATGTGTAATAACGGATTTCTTGTTTTCCTGCATCAAGAATAGAGTCAAGGGACAAGTTCCTGAGTTACACTATTTAAAAAAAGAAAATTTTAAAAATGAGACAGCTGCGTGAGTGGGACTGGGGCTGTTGTAGAAGTGAGCTCGAACAGTGAGTTGCTCTTAGGTAGGTGAAGAGAATGGGTCTCACAAATGGATATTGATCTGTAGCAGCTGGGACGTGAGGAAGGGGTTGGGAGACAAGCCTTTCCCTGGCTGACTTTGTTTTGCTGGTAAATTTGTGTTTGTGGTACAAGGCTATATTGTTTTCCACTCATCTTTAATGTAGCTATATATAAGTGCGTGGATGATAAAGTTTAATAAGCTATATAGCACTTGGGCAGAAAAATGGTTGATATGACTTGTGATTTCACTGCAGCAGGTAAATTTTCAGGAGTTATATATGCATCCTTTACAGGAGTTAGTGGACAGTTAAAACTCCTGGTGAACAAGCACAATTGAAAGTTCGTCTTTTTTAATTGGATTTATTTATTTGGTTATAGGCTTTTCCATTTGATGCTACTGTTTCATCTGTTACGTACTCAGCGCCCAGCACTGACTCGTTGTGCTTGAATTATTTTTGTAGAAAGAATGCAAAGAGGATCTAGGAAATTCCTACAGTTAATCGCTCGCAAAAGAAACAGCTGAATTGAGGTGAAATAAATTATTAGGTGAGATGTGCAAGCTGGACAAATGGGAGGGAAGCCTACTTCTTTGCAAATTGAGATTTGAAACCTTCTGGCAGAATTTGTTACCTTCCAGTTACGATTATTAAAATGTTCCATGATTTGGTATTTCATGGATTTACTGTCAGGAAGCTATTGTCTGTCTGGAACGGTTCAAAGAATAACCCCGTTCTGAACCGTTTTTAGTGGGAGCCCAGTTAAAATAGGCTAAGATTATTTGTTGTATTGTTTTCCCTGAAACACCACAAAGTGCTTTAAATAATGTTTAACGGCAGTCTTTCTCTCCCTTTTCTCAAGGGGGTTGTTCTGACATTGAGGCAGTGATCGGGACAGCACTGTTGGAGGCTAGGTCGGTAACGGAGGGAGAGGAGGCTCCGCGAGTGCCTGGAAAAGGAGTGCGAACTCCGGATAGTTTAGATTTACGAAGCCAAGTCCTGGGCTCGCTCCGATCCGTGGCGGAGCTCTCAGTGGAGCAAACATTTGGGTCACGGCTGTGGAGCAGGCTGTGGCCGGGGCAGGCGGGGGGGAGCGGGCGAGATGGAGGGGGGCTGCGCGGGCGCGGCGCTCCCGCCGGGGGAAGGCAAAGTGGGAGCGAGGAGAGCTTCAGGTGGACGCGGGACAGGGAGCGAAGGCATGGGGAGTGTGGAGTATGGTATGGGGAGCTGGGTAGGAAGGAAAGAGAAAGAAGAGCTGCTGTATGAAGGCCAACAGCAAGGAAGGAAAAGGCAACGAAAATAAACAGATGGGACAGGCAGAAAGGGAATAATACTGGGCAGTGAGGCAGATAACAGAAGGCCTTGGGAAGCAGAATTGTAAGGGGAGGAATCGGAAAGTATAAAAGGGTCATTCAGGGACAGATTGTTCTAGGGAAAG